GCTGGGAGCAGGAGGCTGGAGAGGATCCAGACACAGCCAGAAAAACTCTCCCTGAAGTCATTAATAGCATTTCTCCTCGTGGATGGACTCAGTGCAGTTCTGCCTCTCCTCCTCCATCCATCTGTGGCAGCTCAGCACAGGAGGGATCTCTGATTCCAGTGAGGAACTGGAGCCCCGAGCTCCCTGCCCTGACTCCAGGCTCATCCTGAGCCCCAGAGCCCCTTCCCTCTGCCAGAAGGGTGAGCAGGGGGAGGGAGGGGGATAAACACCCAGGGAGTGGGATAAAACACCCAAGGGATGGGATAAACACCCAGGGAATGGGATAAAACATCCAGGGAATGGGATAAACATCCAGGGAATGGGATAAAACATCCAGGGAATGGGATAGAACATCCAGGGAATGGGATAAAACCCCAAAGGAATGGGATAAAACCCCAAGGGAATGGGATAAACATCCAGGGAATGGGATAAAACCCCAAGGGAATGGGATAGAACATCCAGGGAATGGGATAAAACCCCAAGGGAATGGGATAAACACTGAGGGAATGGGATAAAACACCCAGGGAATGGGATAAACACAGAGGGAATGGGATAAAACATCCAGGGAATGGGATAAACACAGAGGGAATGGGATAAAACACTGAGGGAATGGGATAAAACACCCAGGGAATGTGATAAACACCCAGGGAATGGGATAAAACACCAGGCAATGGGATAAACACTGAGGGAATGGGATAAAACACCCAGGGAATGGGATAAACACTGAGGGAATGGGATAAAATACCAAGGGAATGGGATAAAACACCAAGGGAATGGGATAAACCCCCAGTGCTGTTCAGTCCAGCCCCTCTTGGACAGGACCCTCCCCTTCTTGAGCAGCTGCTGCAGTTTGGGGAGTTAAAAGAAAATGGGAAAGCCACCTGAACCACAGAATCATTGAGGTGGGAAAAGGCCTCTTAAGATCCTAAGTCCAAATTTCAGCTGAACACCCCCATGACACTAAACCACGTCCCAAAACATGAGGGGAAAGGCTCAGAATGCCAAACACCTTGTAAATACAGGTGTGATACCATTAACTATTATAAATCACTTCAGTAGATGTAGCACAATAAACCTGCATTTTCTGCTGATTTTCAGCAGATATGTTCATTTAGCAGTAATAAAATCTATAGAATCACAGTTTCATACCTTTTAATAATCAATTTCTTTATCTGAAAACCTCCAAGCCTAGGAGAGGTGTTGCTGTGTGTCTGTCCTGTTCTCATGGCCCTTCCCAGACAGCCACCAGTGACAGTGGGATGTGAAACACCCCCTGTGGCTTTTCCTCTGCTTTAAACACAAACCTCCCCTGGAACACATCCTGCATTGCACTCCAGATAGGTGGGGCCCAATCAAACAGCCTGTTTAGGGTAATAATTATAAAATTTATAGACAACATTTATGATAACAGTTATATAAATGAGACTGGCTGTAGGGCATCCTGGCATATATATCCATAGATGTCCATAGATATCCATAGATATCCATAGATGTCCATAGATATCCATAGATATCCATAGATATCCCATCTCCAGTGTTCACAGGCTGCAGAAGTACGTCGAGCTGGCCTCCTCCCTCCTTTGCAGCTCCAGGCAGGAGTGATTTACCGGGAAAGCTTCGGGAAGGCTGCATTGGAGCTCCCTCTAGCCCCCACGCCAGGAAATTGTCAATTATTGAAAAAAAAAAAATCAAAAAAGAAAAAAAAAATTAAAAAGATTCTACCAGCACCCGCACCCCATCCTGGCACAACACAAAGGCAGCGAGGGCTCCCACAGGTGTTGGGATGTGTGGGTTTTGGGGTCGGGTTTTCTGAGAACTCCCCACTCCATTTCAGGTGAAAAAGGAATTGGTGCTGCATGTCAGAGGGGCCATTTGGCAACTAAATATTCCAGAATGCAAATGTTCCTGTTCCTCTTGCAAAACTGTGGTTCAGGGGGTTCCAGAGGGGCTCAGCCTTTCCAAGCAGGGAATTCCAGGTGCTCACCTCTCACCAGTGACCTCAGGTGCTGTCCCAGTGCTGCCTCATTGCACCCCTGACCATCCCATTCCACTCACTGGGCACTGCTCAAGGAAGGAGCTGCCTCGGCCATAAATTACTTTATAATTGCAACTCTCCACACGTCCTGAGCTGCCTGGAATGGTGGCAGTCTCTGCTCCATGGCACAGCTGCTGGCTTGGCTAAGGGAGCATCTGAAAACCTTGACTGCAGCCATGCTGAGACCTACACCTGCTGCATTTCTCAGGGGATCATTCCTTCTCCTACATTACACAGCATTTTCCTTCAGCTAGTTAAAATCTACTTTGAGAGATGAATATCTTCATTTATCTCAGTTGAACTGGTTTGGTTTGGGCTTTTTTTTTTTTTTTTGCTCCATCTAGTGGTGCACAAAAATTCATCCTGCTCCAGCCCAGAGTGTCCACACACTGCTCTGAGCTGTGTTAGGGACTTCCCACAGCTGTTGAAGGAGAGAAAATAATACAAGCACAGAAAATAACAGCAAGGCAGTGGTTGCTGTGCAAAGCTGGAGTCTCACCCACCTATTCCAGGCAAAACCATGTAAGAGGTGAATATGTTTGCACAGGAGAACTCCACAATGCAACCAACCTGATCCTAAACAGTGCAAGTGCCTAAAGGTGCCAAAGGAGAAATTCCCCATCTGAACTCCCTCAAAGCAGCAGATTTTTTGAAGCCCTCTGAGTTCATGGAAGGAGAAAATAAGAAAAAATAAGAAAAATGCCATTTCTACTTTGCCTTCCATCCCAAAATGCACAGTAAGACAGTCTTCACTCTTCACAAAAACAGTGCAAATTCACCTAGGAAGGGGAATTTTTCTGCTGGTACCTTTCCCTGTTTTATAATAGCATGCAGCATTTTAGGTCATCTACTTCTAACTCTGGTTAGCTATGAGAGCCCCTACCAGCCTGTGCTGCTAAAGCCAGGGATGCACAGCATGTTTTATTCAGCCAGCCATGATTTATTCAAAGAGGGAAATGTTTACTCCTGCATTTCTGGCCTCCACTGCAGCAGGGAAGGTCAGCTCTCTGTGTGCTCCTGAAGAGAAAATGCCACAATTCAGGGGCACTACAGCTCCAAATCCAAACTGTTCCAAATCCCAGCAACCCCTAATGAGCCTATTTCCCCTTAATTGGAAAACTACTGGATAGAAACACCCCATGCCAGTGTCCTGTGACAGCCAATAACGCTGGGCAGGCTTTGCCTTCATTTTCTCCTGAGCCTCATCATTAACTGCAGCCACTTCCAGGGTAATCACACACTGGCCCTGCAGGCTGGGGGGTTGAATTTGCAGGGTTAAATCAGTCTGGCTTCTTTGTTTTCCTTTGCACAAATAGATAAAAGGTACTCATTGAAAGATTGGACAAACCCTCCCCTCTGCAAGGGAATAATTACAGTGCTCCAGAGTTCAGTTCACTGAGGAGAGAGTGGTAATCACTGTTTACATCTGGGAGGGAGATAAGCAAGTCAAAATATCAGAAATTCCTACTGTCTCTATCTTTGGGAAGCAACTCTGAGAAACTCCTAATTACAGAGTAAAAGACCCAAATGGTGAGCAGTGCTCAAACATTTCAGTGTTTTGCCCTGCCCTGTAAACATCAGAAGAATATATTCCAGGGAATATAATTCCAGATATATATTCCAGGGATATAATAAACTGCAGTCAGCCACTACACTATTTTTTGCATACATTATTTTGAAATTTTACAGTAAGAATGAGTGTATATTGTATATTGTACTATATTCATTACTCTATATTGTAATGAAAAACATTTAAGAAATGTGAAACTGAGAACATTCAATACCAAAGAACAGCAGCAGCCACAGAGTGTGAGCAGTGAGCAGAAATGATGCAGAAAAACTTGCAAAATCATGAAGGCAGATTATTCTTGTGCCAGCAAATCCCTGCCCAGGCCTGGACACTGCACAGTCACAAGGGAAGCACAAGGAAACATTTCACAGCAAGGACAGAGACACTGGATTAAACCTCTCAGAAGAGCAAATAACCTGTATTCTGGTTTTTTGGAGATTCCTTTGGGGAGAAAAAAGCACATTGTAAAGATGAGAGAGAGCCTCAAGCTGCCTTCACAGTTCTTCCCTCCTTGATCCTGGTGATTCTCCTTTTATCCCATCCTCAAAGCCACACATAAGTACAAATAAATTCCTGCTTTTCCCCTGCATCTAGCCACCTCTGCCTTTACACCAGCCCCAGACTGTGGGGAGAATTATTTTACCTCATGACAGCAACTACAGATTTAAGAACTTTTCTCTCTCTCCCAGTCCTTCTTTCCCACTATTTTCAGGGCAGTAAATGCCACTGCAGAGAAATTCTGTTCCCTGCTGCATCTGCCTGCACTGGTTAAGTTGGAAAACGCAGCCAGCAGAAATTCTCTGGTTATCTTAGAGCCACAGGATGTGTCTGAAAGGTGCAACCAACCAAGAGCCCTGTGAGCAGCGGGGACTTGGACACCCATGGACACAATCTCATTTCTCCAGCTGCACTCATGGGGCTGTGCAGCTGCAAGTTCACTCCTTTAGTGACAACTGAACCACAGCTTTGAGAGAAATATTTTCATTGATGAGGCAATAGAAGCACATGAGCAGGGACCTTTGGTTGATCCAAGCCTTGCACAGAGGCCAAGGAAAGGAGAAGACAGAGCTCAAAGCAGCTTAGGATGGAAGCAGGCATGGAGAGAGATGTGCTGCCACAACAGAGATGTGCTGGCTCCTCAGAACCAGCACCAAGGAAAGGAAGAAGGGCTCATCTCCAGCAGCAACACCCATAAAACATCTCCTGCTGGTGTTTGCCCGACCTTGAAACAAACTCAAACCAGCCCAACAGAGATCTCACAACAGCTGCCCTCCCACCCCACATCTGGCAGAGGAAAAATCCCCTTGGGCTGTGCCCTCCACACCACACAGCAACAAAACTCACACTACACCTCAGGGCTTATGGTACCGTTTATTTGAGCTGAAAATAAAGTGTGCACTGGAGGGATGTGTTCACAGCTGGCGTGTGTCCTCAGCACTGGGCAGGAGGAGAGAGCTGTGGGGAGCTGGAGAGGAGGCATTGCTCAGACTGGCAGCACGGGGTCCCAGGGCAGTGCCAGTCCATGCCCACAGAGAGGGAGGAGAGGAGCTGGGCACAGGAGCAGGGGCTGCAGCAGAGCCCAGCTGCGCTGTCATCTCGAGGAGGGGCTGCTAGAGCCCGAGGGTGGGCAGCAGAACTGGTGCAGGACACTATCTTCCCTGCCAAGGAGGGGGCAAGAAAGAAAAGAGACAGAGGAAGAGAATCACAGGGAGCAGCATTAGGAAAATTCAGCTTGAAATCTGTTTGCTTTTGTTTTCACATCCACAAATACTGTGAGTTGTTTGTAAGCACCACCCAGTTAACCCATTTCCATCTCAGAGACAGGACTCTCCAAAAAGGGAAGAACAGCCCAAGGAGCCAAGGCCAACACTGATGACTTAAACTCTGAGAAAAACACTGCCTTGAAAGGGCCACTTTTGGTTTTCCCCATTAGAAAAATTACATCAGGCTGTCATTTACATACCCAGCCTAATGTGGCCACGGCCCCTTTATTTTAACACGCTCAGAACTTCCCACAGGTATTTCCACTGCCCACATTCTGCTGGAAATGCAGAACAGATGTCTCCCCCCTGTGAGGGAGGCTCACACACAGAAATCCTGGTGATGACCAGGTCTGCTCTCCACCCCCTCCTCCCTCCCTCCCCAGGGCAAGAAGAGCTCTGTCTCCAGGAGGAGTTGCCAGCATCATGAATGGTGCCACCACGAGGCAGGAGCAGTTTGGAATACCCACATCTGTAATGCTGGAGGTGCTTTATGGCAGGGAAGGAGATGCTGGCCTAGCAGGAGGCTCCAGCCACTTCTGAACCAGTGACACAACCACGAGGGGCCACTTCCTTTAAAGTAAAGAACAGGCTAAAGGAGGAGGATGGAAAGGAACACAATGAGGGAAGGAAAACAAGAAAATCCCAAACCAAATTTCAGGCTGTTCTGCCAGTTCTCCCAACTGTGCTCAGGAGCACAATCCACCATTTGCACTCCCTGCATCACGTAGGCATCAAGTGGAAAATTACAAGTATTACTCTAATTATGCCAGCTTTCCTTTGCCATAGGGTGTGAGCACAGATGCCTTATGTAATCAGCTGAACCTCACACTGACTTGGGGCAGGATTTGGTCACAGTTTGGATCTGGTTTGCTCTGTCCATCTGCATCCTGCCTCTCTGGGCCACGTGCTGCTGGTCTGGGCCACGCTGCTCTCACTGCTTTGCTCAGTTTGAAAATTAAAATACCACCAAGCTTTTATATCTCTGCATATTCTAGAGACAGCTTAAACATGCTGAGGTATACAGCTAGAAATTAGATCCCTATTCAACATTTCTTTGGTAGAAAATGTCAATGCATATTATATATGCAATTATGTATGAAATGCCATATCAGTACTAAAAAGAATTCTGAAGTGCAGCTCCTTCAGATATGTCCTTACCTGGGACTAAGCACTGACTGGCAGCTACCACAGGGCCAGGGGCTCTGCTGCATGCTGTGGGATGTCTCTAGGGCTGTTTGTAGGGAGGACACAAGAAGTATTTGCTTTGTGTCTCAGGGAAGAGAACAGTGCCCAGCAGTGTGAAAAAATAAACTGGGAGTTGCAAGGTACATTTATCTATAAAGAGATTTGTTTGTTTGTTTGTTTTAGGGGTACAAGCTATTTCCCAGTTTTCCCTGGCTGTGCTAGTGTGCAAAAATTCCCACTGTGCTCTTGAGAAGAGTTAAGGAAAACCAAACCACTCCAATACATGATGGAAGCATCTGAAAGCCCAGCATTGTTGCAGGGGAGCCTCTGTGTTAACCAGTTATGGTGGCAAAACAGCTCCAAAGCCTCCCAGGGGCTCAGACAGAAAGAAATAGCACAACCAATCCTTCTATCATCGTCCACACAGTGGTTTGTTGCATGTAAGCCAACATTACCTGGTGAAACAAAGATTCCACATTAAAATTTCACACAAGTACAGTATTTTCAGAATGATGGTTTTACCTCCCAGAGGTGCTGATTAAACATTAAGCAGGCAGAGACTGCAAGAAAATGATGGGATTTCTTTGGTACTATAACATCCTTTGCATTATCATTTTGTTTTCACAGGTCTCACTGGGGAAAAAAAAAAGAAAAGAAAAGAAAAATCTCTAGCTTCACGATTTAAAAAATGGTCTTTGGACATGATGAGGGCATCTAATTTGAGATTAGAAGGATGGAAGGTAGGGTGGATGGAGACAGGAATGAGTGACAGCCAACATTTGATGCAAATCAGAGCGAGGAAGTCACAGTTATGAAAAAAGACATCAGATGGAAAGATGCTCAGTGGTAAGCAAATGTGTCCACAGTTGCAGTTTGCACTCATCAGCCTGTTCCATACCCACACAGGGAAGGCAGACAGGAACAGGGCTGGCTATCCCCAGCAGGGGCACCTCTGTACATGGAATTTTCTGTGTGTGAGGTTCCTGCACAGACGGGCTGAGGGTCTGACTGAAGTTTGTCTAAAGTTCTGTCACAGAATCCCAGACTGGTTTGGGTGGGAAGGGACCTCAAAGCCCATCCAGTGCCACCCCTGCCATGGGCAGGGACACCTCCCACTGTCCCAGGCTGCTCCCAGCCCTGTCCAGCCTGGCCTTGGGCACTGCCAGGGATCCAGGGGCAGCCCCAGCTGCTCTGGGCACCTGTGCCAGGGCCTGCCCACCCTCACAGGGAGGAATTTCTTGCCCATATCTATTCTAAACCTACTCTCTGTCAGTTTAGAGCCATAGAAAGCCTATTTAGAAAATGCTGGGACTCAGCTTCCTCAGGAAGGACACAGAGCTGATGAAATTCCCTTCCTGCAGGTGCCATTTCAGCTCTGGGCTTTGCCCAGCTCCAGCTGTGAGGCCTCTGAGGTGATGATGCCTGGATCAAACCAGAGGCTCAGCAGCTGAAGTACAGGACTACCTGGATTTCTATTTTCTGGGTGTTCCACACTTCCTTTACTTTTCTCTTCACACCAGATATCAAATCTGCATTCCAATGATCTCTGACAGACCCAGAGCAGCTCCTGGAACCTGCAGCTTCCAACCAGAGGCTGCTGTTTTCAAGGCTCCACTCGGGAGGCAGGAAGGGGAAGGGACTCAGAGAATCCAAGCTACAGACATTGCTGGCCTATTTTTTAATTCCCAAACAGAAATAACCCAAAAAGAGCAAGCAGAGGAGGCATATGGGCTCACTGGAAGCCAGACAAGCATCTAGCTGGAAGGACACAACAAGCTCAGGCTTCCCAAGACTTCCCTTGTAATAGGAGAATGCAAGATAACTTGTGTTATTTCTGTCTCTTTTGAGCATTGTAAAATGAGTGAGGGATTACTGCAATAGCTGCAGTTATTAAAAATGCATTATTTCCCTATTAACCATTCAAAACAGATGCCAAAGATCGTCTGGACCAGAAATAAAACTGCTGGAGTGAATAAAACATCCAGCCATTAGCTAACAGCAAATCAGAGATGCTCCAGATTTCACTGTAGTGCATTCATTAATTGCTTCTTTCAGAGCAAATTTAATTTTTAATTCTGGGCAACCAAATTAATCCCTCAGTGTATTTTCTAAATAAAGCCTCAAAACTGCATCCAGACCAAAGCATCCACGTCTGTTAGTTTTGTTTCTAATGATTTCTATTTATAAATTGATAAATGGGAAGACTAAAAGCTAAATTTAATGCCATCATGTGTATGTAGAAATGCAAAGCCCAATCCTGTTAGAGCTCTAGCAGCTCATTTTCATTCACAGCAAAGGGATCCCCATGTACAGGTCCTGCACAAAACCAGGTGCATCATTTGCACTTGACTCAGAGATCACAGTTGTGGGGATGGCACTTTGGATATAACAACTTCAGAAATTGAAATTATGGGCAAACCAAACCAATTCCTGCCATGAGGATGATGGTAACAGCCTGGCTCCAGCACAGCAGCACATCTGTGAGCAGGGGCAGCATAAACATTGCAGGGTAACTTGGAATTAAATTCTATAGACTAAAATATTCTTGTTTGCAGCTCTTTTTATCCTTCCCAAGAACAGAGTGCTGTGGGGTGCAGGATCATTTGGTGGAGGTGTGGCCAGTGCAGTCCCTGCTCAGAGCAGGTACAGCAGGGATGTCCCATGACCTGAGTGTGGCTGGGGACAGAGACCCCACGTCCCCTGCTGGCCTCTGCTCCAACGTTTGACCAAGCTCATGGTGAAATTCCCTCTCTCCCTGCCTTGTATCTAATTGGAATTTCCTTACTGCAGTTTGGTTTGCTTGCCTCTTGTCCCTGGGAGAGGCTGGCTGCAGCTTTTCCATATTCCCCCTGTTCACAGAACCCCAGACTGGTCTGGGTTGGAAGGACTCAAAGCCATGGCAGGGACACTCCCACTGTCCCTCCAAGCCCTGTCCACCTGGCCTTGGGCACTGCCAGGGACCCAGGGGCAGCCACAGCTGGGTTGGACACCTCTGAGTGAAGAACTTGCCCTGATTTCCACCCAGAGCCTGCCCTGGCCAGCCTGGGGCTGTTCCCTCTCCTCCTGTCCCTGTTCCCTGGAGCAGAGCCCCTTTTCCCCTGGATGTCCTCTCCTGGCAGGAGCTGTGCAGAGCCACAAGGTCCCCCCTGAGCCCAAATTTCCTTGAGAGCAAACAAGGCCAGGGATCAGCTCCTTCCACTCACAGTCCTGAGCCATCAGCTGGAGGTCCCACAGCACTCTGACACTGCACAGCTTCACACCCCCAGAGCAGGGAACTCCTGTCCTCACTGCACAAAAAAAGCCCTGAAGAAATTCAGATTTTTCAAGCACGAAGTTCAGCTGCTCTAAGCTTTAATTCCAGAAGAAATATCACTGATAAAAATAACACCCTATGTGGAGCAAGACACTGAGACATTCAAGGAACAGCTGGTTTTCCCATCAACATCCCAACAGGAAGATCCTTAAAATTAAAGCACTATCAACTAAGGACATAGGAAAACTAAAAGCCTCACTAAAAAGCAAGCAGGGAATCTAAGAGTTTTCAGGCCCTGCTCCTCACCAAAGGAATTTGAGCTGTCTTACAACTCAACTATGGACTCACTACCACCAAATAAATGAAGGGCTCTGATGGGAGAAAAAAAACCAAACACACAAACAGATGCTGCAACACAAACCAACAGGGTGAATCCAAGCATGCATGGATAGAGGTAACTAGGGGATGAAATATTCAAACCAGAAGTATGTTTATGCATTTACAGATTTAGGATTCATTGTTTGCTTTTGTCTTTCCTTATTACCCGTGCAAAATGATTTTGATTTTTCAGCACCAGGCTTCCAATATTTTGATATTAATATTATTCATGAGCTGGCAATTATCACCAAGTCGATTGCTAATAGCAGAAGTAAAAATTCAAGACAATCTTTTCCATGGCATGCACAGTTTTTTAACAGTTTTCACATTTCCAATGACTGAGATTAGCTGCCCTCTGATGCTTCCCTAAGATGTTACAATAAACACTGGCATTGACACTAAACTGTACTATGGGATGTAATTGCTGCTCTCTGCACTGGATCAAAGAGAACACATAGATAGTAAAGGCATCTCTGTTAAAAGAAGCAATATGAGCTGGAAGATGTGTATTTTTGATGTATTCAGGGCCTGGATGTGTTTAAAACCCCTTTCTTTCACTCAAATCCAAGGCAGTGCTGAGCCCTGGGCAGGTCCATGCCTTTAACCTTCAGAGGGTTAAACACATGGATGAATTCCTCAGCTACTGGAAGGGATGGAAAAAAAGAGTTGCTAAGGAGAACATCAATATCCTCCATTAATTATATAAATATTTCAGTGTATTTGTCATGTGAGAGCTCAGCCTGCACCTCCCTTCTCCCTACCTTTGCAAGCCCAGGGGGATGTGCCCCTTAAAGCACATGACACTCATTTTACAGAGTAATTCCAGAGTGCCTGAGAGAAGGACTCACTGCAGTGATGGTTCTATCCACAGCTACCCTACAAGACCTCAAAAATATTGGATATTTAATCCAATTTTTTTTTTCTTTTAAAACTTAAGCAACTATTGCTTGTCTCATGTCAAATGGCAGCACCAGATGTCCCTCAAAGAGCAGCAGAGGGTGGAGCATGTCTACTCTTACCTGTACTCTGAGTGTGTGGCAGGGACAGCTAGCTGGGAATGGTACAATGGAGCTGGACAGCAAAACTGGTGCAGAGTATTTAAAGACCTACGACACAAGGAAAAACACAAAGTCAAACCAGCAGTGTTGAGAAAGGGGCTCTTGAGGGGAAGGCAGGTGCTGACAGGAGAATTGGAAACTCAGGAGAACGGGGACTGAAATTTGAGGCACAGCTGTGAGATCTGGATGCCAGGGGACACAGGGAACAGTGCCAGGGTTAAATGCACACACCACAATGATGGGGAGGAGCTGCTGCAGTGAGGAGTCAATCAAAGGTTTGTTGCAGAATTAGGATCAAATGCCAATTTAAGGCCTGGGGTTTGCCTTGCCACGAAGAAGGAAGGCAAAGCTGAAAGACTGAGGGTTAAAATCCCTGTGGAAATGAAGCTTTAGGCTTGCACCTTACTCTGCACCAGTCAGGCTGTTCTCTGGTCATGGAATTAATGCACAGTGCTCTGAATGAGGAGGGACAGTGCAATGGACATGGACACAAAGCTTTCTTCAAGCCCAGCAATGACAAACATATTGCAAAATAAACCACTTGAAAATGTGAAAGAACCCAAGTTTCACGCATGTTTTAAGCAATATTCAGACCTGTGCAATAGCAGTTTAATTGTTCAAATTTGTTCATTTGTTCAAAGTACAGAAAGAAAACAAAAAAATCCTTTACAGCGCAAAGATATTCTGCACCCCAGATCATTAGATTGGTATTGTTTCACTAAAACAAAACCAGACAAGGGGTTTCCACCTCTGAAGGAAAGCTTGGAAAATCTAAGCAGCAAAAAACAAAACCAAAACCAGACAAGGGGTTTCCACCTCTGAAAGAAAGCTGGGAAAATCTTTAAGGAGCACACAGCACACACGTCCCTGCATTCCTGGTGTTTGTGCCAGGAAACATTAAACAAAGCTCAGCACAGCAAGTCCTCCATGATAAATCCACCTAATCAAATTTCTCAGGACACAGCATTCTTCTAGGAAATCATAAAAAAATAATCAATATCTCCTAGCTCTTTGAGTGGAAGAGGGAGCTGTTAAATTGAAAATCCTCCTTTAACTTGTGAGCATCCAACCCGACAGTTAACAGAGGGGGTGTGTGTGTGCTAGAGTACACAAATGCACTTTTTCCCCCATCTTTCTCTTGGTGTTTTGATAGAAGTCTCAGAAGATTGATTTTGATTCTTCTGCATCCCTGAGGCTTAAAGTGAATCCTGTGAGGTCACTTTCTTACAAGATCAAAGAGAGTGGTTAAGCAAAAAGAAGTCAGGCTTTGTTCAGGAAGGAGCAAGTTACTAATCCTTAGGAAAAAAGACAAGGTCAGCCTGTTCTGATTCCTGCTGCCAACACTGTGTCAGCAACTGCATGGCCAGGATCAGCTGGATTTTCTGTTCAAAGGTGGTAACCCCTGTAAAGTACTTGGGCTTTTGGAGATGCAGCTCAGCCCAGACACACCCCAGGGTGGGATGTGCCCTCTAACACCTCACAAGGTTCAGGAACCCATGGGGGCACCTTCAAACCCCTTGGGAAGACAAAAAACTCAAACCAAAGATGGAGAACAACACCGAAAACATTGATGGGCTCTATCCAAGCAGCCAAAGCTGGATTTTCTGTCAGGAAAAGCACAGAGTGTTCCACACAAGCTGCTCCCCTCAGTCCTGGGGCAGCAGGGCACGAGTCTCAGCCTGGGCAGGGGAGCTGCTCTCATGAGGAACCTGCTCCTGCCTTGGCATCCTGGTTTTTCCAGCAAAAGCAAAAGAAGGAAATGCAGGAAATCGGTAGGAGAGTGTTCCAGATTCCATTGCCACCACTGTTCTTTTTCCACACAGATGTCTCTTTCTTCAGAGAATTAACCAGTGAAATATGAAAGAATATGAAAGAATCTCTCTGGATTCAGCTCTGCTCAACAAAGCTTTTTGAACAGAGTTTGCTCCTGGCTCTTCCAAAACCATTCTGCCCTCAAGGCTCCATGAATATGTCTTGCTCCAATATTCCTAGGTTCCAAAAGAACCTGAACAGTAAAGAAGGTGGTGGAATCTTGTCACCATCATATTTTCTGAAAAATCCTCCTTGCCCAGGATTCTTCTCCTGGGAAGCTGAGAAGCCTCAGAGAAAAAAGAAAACAATATTATCTCATTTGCTTCTCCTGTGCTTTTGCTGCTTTGGAATGTGGTTTGGAGATTGTTTATCCAACAGGTGCTTGTTTGATTGGTTTCATGTGAATTGTGTTTACTTAATGACCAATCACAGTCAGGTTGTGTTGGGACTCTGGAAGGAGTCACAAATTTTCATTATCATCTTTTTAGCCTTCTGTCTGTATCCTTTCTCTATTCTTTAGTATAGCATAATATAATGTAATGTGATATAATGTAATGTAATATAATGTGATATAATGTAATGTAATATAATGTGATGTAATGTAATATAATATAATATAATATAATATAATATAATATAATATAATATAATATAACATAATATAACATAATATATAACATAAGCCTTCTAAGAACATGAAGTCAGATTCTCAATTCCTCCTCTGTCCAGGGACCCCGAAAATACCACAGAGTCTGAAACCTAAGGAGCTCGTAGAATTTTGGGTTTGTGAACTAAAGTTTAGAATAAAACACAGGATTTGATTTGAGATCTTGGAAAAGGTTTTTAAACTTAGGTGTTAGAAGTGAGAATGTGGATTTATAGTTTGAAGTAGAGATATGTCAAGTAAAGGAAAGTTTAGAGTTTTAGAGTTTAAGATATAGAAAAAATAAAGAGATAAATAAGGAACTTAGAATGCAGTACTGTAGGGTTGAGTGTCATAACATGATTGTTTAAAAATGTTTATATTGTAGCATGGGTCTGTAAGATAAAATATTTAAGGACTGGGTTAAAAACATAAATATCTTTGTTAGTAGTGTTTTATTAGTCAATAATTCCTTAAAAGATCTTGTAACTAAGGGTTTTGTGACCTTATGAACTGCGCTGTAATGATGTGAGCTGAACTCAGCCTTCCTGCCTATGTAGAAGATAAGAAAATAAACCACATCATCAAATACAATTCAGAGGACCCGTGTCAAATTCCTTCCGAAACTGCCCACGAGTGAGTTATCACAAAGAGAAGCTCTCCCCATGCTCTGGTTTGTACACACCTGTGGCACAGCCCTGGGCTCAGGAGCTGGCCTGCCCTGAGTTCCAGGAGCAGCAGGAACGCAGCAATCCCGTCCTGGGAGCAGCTGGCCCTGCCCAAGGAGGCTCTGACACCGCCACAGGTGAGGAGGTGACACAGGGGACAGGCTCAGCTGCAGGCTGGCACTGAGGGGCCACCAGGTCCCTGCTGTCCAGCACAGAGGGCTGCATCCTCAGACAGGATCCTGGGCGCACCACGAGGTCTGGGCTCTGCTCTGAACGTTGAAATTCAGAATAGCTGAACTCTGTTTGGGCTCCTCCAGATCTCAGTGACTCATGGCAGCCTGACAGTGATGAGGCTCAGCCTTTACAGCCCCTGACTAATGCTCATTCTACCCAAAGCAATGGGGTAAATCTGCCAGTGCAGTTTAAGATTCACATGTGGCATTTTGTGCCTTCAATCACCTGTCAAAACAGCACTTGCAATCATCTACCCCTCTCTAATATATACCAAAGAATGTTTACAGTTCCAATCCCTTTGTTTGTTTGTTTGGTTTGGCTGGAGTTTTAATTATTTTTTAAACTTCATAGCTATATGTTGCAATCTGCCTTCCACACAAGTTTGCATTCAAGCTAGAATTCATTTACTAATTTTTAACACCTAAAAACATCAGAAGAAATCCATTTCAATCATTTGGAGGAGAATTAATCACTGCTCCTGTTCACAGTCTCACAGATACTCAGCCCTGTGAAGATTAGTTTCCACATCTGTAGCTGCTGTTCTTCAAAGGATGATTTAGGATTACAAAGAGAGCACAGGTACTTCAGCACCAGGACAAGACAAATGACAGCTGACAAATGCTGCTGCTGGTAATTTCAGTTTCTGGCCCATTGCTGCACATGGAAGTTTGGCCATTTCCCATTCCCAGGCCAAGTTCATTCCAGCTCTCCCCTTGGGAGCAACCCCTGTGAATCCCTGCACGAGGTTCTTGGCAGAGCAGATGAGTCTGCCAGTAAAACCAGAGCCAAATGTGACCCAAACCCTGGACACCTCATTCCCCCACAGAACAGGAGGAACCCAGCTCCTAAGAGAGCACACAGCCCCCAGGCAGCTGGGGCTGTGCCTCTCACCCCTCTGTAAACCCCATCATGTTTGCCATTAGAATCCACTCATTTGAACAGCATTCTCCTGTCCATCAGCAAACAGAAATGACAATTCTTTTTAATCTTCTGGTTTTAGAGCCTTGCTCAGATGTACAAATAAAAAGAAATTGACTACTGGTCATCACATAAAGCCAGAACTATTTTTATTTTTTTCTTTCATTTTCTCTTGCAATCCCCAACAAGCCTCCCAAACTCAGCAGACAATTTTCTCAGTATTGGTTTTTAAACAACCTGGCAGAGCAGAACACTCTGGCCATTAACCTGGAATTGCTTTTTCTCTAACAGGTTATCCTGTGCTCTCGCGATGTGCTCGGAGCCAGCAGATGCTCCTGGCAGGATTGGGAGCCTGGGGGCAGCTTGTCCCCTCTCCCTGCCCAGGACACTGTGGTGGCACAGGACATCCACCCACCCCTGCTCATTCTGCTGCTGCTGAATTTTCAGCAGAATTATTAAACCATCGCTGTCTGAGAGCTTCTTCCTACAAGAGCTTCCAAACCCCAGACTGAGGGGAGTGGGGGCAGGAGCACAGCTGGAAGGAGCCTGTCTGGAGTTAATGATGTGGCTGATGAGAGGAGCTGCTCAGTACCTCCCTGCCCTTTGCTGCTGCCCTCCCCAGAGCCCTGACTCCATTCACCATTCCTCCTCTGGTCTGGAACAACAATCTGTTCCCCTCCATCTGCCAGGATTCTTCCCTTTCTTCTGGCACATTTTCCCATAAAGTGCACGTTGCAATGAGAATGTTGAAAAAAAATAACTCCAGCACAGGCTGCTGTCCTGGATACCTGTGTGCACCCATTCTTCTGAAATCAGCTTGGGAACAGCAGGAGGGGCAGACAAATCCATCCCCTACCTCAGCCCATTCCCTCCATGTCAGCTGAGGTAGCCAAGAATGGTTTGTTTGATTGGATCTATCTATTAAAAGGAATATTTGCATTTCCCAGTGTTTCATCCTGTTGAACAGTAACATTATTTTACGAATTCAAATTTTCTTTCTCAAGTTGATCCAGAGTTATGGCAACAGCTGAGATTAGAAAATATTGTAGATAGAAACTAATAAAGTCTGTCCTGTTCTTGTTTAATAAATCCAACCATTACTTTCATGAGGAACAACATTTGAAATATAATCAAAGGATACCCAAAGAGGTGATGAACAGTAAAAGTCATAATAATACAGAATCACATCAACTCCAGCTAAATGCTTGCTAATTAACAAGTTTATTAACCTGCTAGAAGGGCTTCCAGAATGAAAACCCTGTCCCAGGCCACAGGACAGCTTTTTGCAAAGCAGAGAAAGCAGCAGGAAGCTTTTCATGGCAGCTCCCACTGTCCCAGCCCAGGTTTGACTGCAGCTGTCTGTGGCTGTGGCCACTTCAAGGTGATTAAGCACATGACACATTCCCATTTCCAAGGATAAATTCCTACTGTTCCTTACCCAAAATACAGAGGGCAGTATGATTTTGGTTTTTGAAGCAGCACTGTGAAACCTTCTCTTCTTTGCTATTCATTTCACCCCACTGTATGTCCAGCACTCTGCAGCCAAGCACATCACAGAGAGCTGTGGTGGCACACAGACAATATTATGGTTTTTTCCCAGTGTTGTTATTATTAATTAATGTCCTGGCATGCACTCTTTTGGATGGCTACCCCACAACATTAAATGCTGCCATTGCTTTTATGGTTGCATCCACAAAAACCTTCCAGCTCACAGCAGAGACCAGCACACGCTGCAGGAGAAGCCCAACTCCTCCCTTCATTGCCTGGGCACTATGGGAACATGCCCAGGGATTGCTCTTGGAGCAAATCTTTGATTTGCTCTCACAGAGCCCAAGGTGGCTCTTTGGGCACAGCTTCTTGGCCACCACATCCAGGTGGGTGTGTTGGGAGGCACACAGGGGGGCAGCAGGAAGCTCCTGGCAGGTGTAATTAGCAGTGTAATTACTCTGCAGGAGTTTGAGAGTCAAAAACCTCACCCACACATCACAAGCAGCACAGCCATATGCTGCAAAGCTGCTCTGCTGGCATCTCCCTCCTCCCATTGCTGCCTCCCTTCCACGCAACAGTCAGAGCCTGGCTAACAGCACTCGAGAATTCCATTTCCTCTTCACAGGAATGAAAGATGTTTTCACCAGCTACAAGGATGCTCAATAAAAGCTGCAGTTCCAAACGAGCAGCACACACAGTCCAGAGTACAGACCACTGAATTTTGTTCCAGAATTCATCAAATCTGGTTGTCATCAAAATGATTTAATAGCAGGATTTGTACACGGCACAGCAGAACTGCAGACTGGGAGTTCTTGTTTGGAATAATGCTTCCCTTTGTGTATTCCCAGCTCAAGTGCCCACAGCTGGATTTTTCAATGGAATCATCAGGCACCCTCTCACTGACCTCTCCTCCATCAAAGGGCCTGTAAATAATTATCATCTCCTGGGAGAATGGAACCACCACAGGCCCAGCATACTAAACAAGGAACAGCCATTATTTTGTCCCATCCTAGAACACAGCACTTATTTAGCATTACAGAGAATTAGAAATAATTATTATAAACTTTTTTAGGTTTCATGAAAATTCAGTACCAGCCTACACAAACAGACAGGAGGGATCCTTCTCCATCCCTGCACAGTTTGCTCCAATCCTGGGTTAGCTGGAACTAGGGTGAATTTAATTAAGACTATTAATATGTAGATGCTTATAATTAGAAAAAATTCTTTTTAAGTCTTAACTAGAACCCCATCTATGGTGCAGGGTGATGTGGAATAATTCACAGGACTCATAAGATGCACTTGTGTCAGTTGTGTTTACTGGGAGCTGTCAAAATCTGTAGGAAAAACCCACACAGTCCAAACCCAGAAATTAAGAGCAAAGAGACACAAGAGAAGGAAAATATCTTTTAGATTAAATCAGAATGTGGATATATTCACCACTTCTTTTCTGTATCTCCCACATCATTAAATCAGGTCCCAGAAATCCTCAAGAAACTACAACTCCCCTTACAGAACACAGGCACATTTATAATCTCACAGAGCAATAACACAGCAAACCCAAAGCTGAGCAGTGCCAGTTATACATATTGGATTTGCAGCTGATGAAAGAGGCAAAATAGCAAAGTACAAAGAATGAAATTACCCAGATACAGCAGGAGAGATTTACAGCAAGGCAAATCCTGTTACTTAAAACAATGCTCCAGTGACATATGTTCTATTCAGTGCAGCAGCTGAAAAAACTGCTTTCACTAATCCAAGTAGTGTGACACTCTTGTTCAGCTTTTCTTAGAACAGCAACAACCAGGCTTTCTAAACTTAAAGATGAAAAAGATATTTTTACCTAAAAAAAGATACTTTCAGTAGCAAAGATCTTTGGCATGTGTATATAATATATATATATATTACAAGAACACTGACAGAGTTGTTATATGTAAGGTTTCATCTGAAAACTTACTCAGCATTGAAGGACTGGTGTTTAACAGTTTAACAAACATTTTCAGTATTGAGAACCCATCAGTTTTAGACAACATAAAGATTTTCCATATACATGTGTTCTTAAAAGTTCTTAAAAAAATTCCCAGCTTACATTTTCCCCTTTCCAACCATCAGCACCAGCTCTCTTAAACAGGAGTTAAAAGACAGAATTATAGTAGGAGGCAGAACCCACACCTTGTTTTCTACAGCAACGTGCTGAGGGGGGTACAAGATACCAAAGGTATAAGCAGCAAAACAGGAAAATCCTGCACAAGATGGGTCTGTAAATAAGACTGCAAGCTCACTGTTAAAGACAGCAACATACAGGGATTGAATATCCCTTACCCCACATGATGAGCACTCTGTGAAATCCATTCCCTGCTGAGAGTTACAGAATCCCCAAATCCCAGGACCCAAATTAAAATGGAGTCCAACACAACCAGAACTGTTCTCCCATGGATAAACACACACCAGGATGTTTCAGGCTGATCCATGAATACCTGGAAGGCTGCAACCTGTTCTCCAAGTTTACTTATTTCAACTCCCTACAAAATGCTCCACATTTATTTTGATTTTAAAACATTTCAACTTTACCATTCACCCCTTCAGCACAACACAAAAAGCTGAAGAAAACTCGAAGACATATACTAATATTCTTTTGTTATTCTATTGGAGGAGTCTGGTTTTGAATGGCTTTATTTACTCTGCCTGTGTGTGGATGGTGCAGCTGAACGTGGAGCTGATTTACTCAAATCAGGCTGCTCAGAGGCACTGCTAAAATAACTGGAAAAGGCTGGGGATGACAATTACATGTGTTTCATGCAGGATCCTCTGGGAGCCCCAAATTTAACCCTAAAGGGAGTGCATGGTTAACCAGGGCTCAGAACTGCAAACAGAGGTACAGCATCTCCAAGCCCCTGGACTGGGAGTGAGGACAAATCCAAGGGCCCATCCCTGCCTGTTTGTGCCCATTTTGGAGCAAACCCTGTGTTCCCCATCCATCCCTGCCTGTTTGTGCCCATTTTGGAGCAAACCCTGTGTGTCCCATCAATTCCTGCCTGGTTTGTGCCCATTTTGGAGCAAACCACCTGTGTGTTCCATCCATCCCAGCACCAGCCCCATCCTGCAGACTGGCTGAGTCCTGAGCCCCAAGCCTCAGGCTCAGCTCCCTCCAGGGGCTCCTGAGCCCACAGGAGAATCAGCTCCTGTGTCTGCCCTCAACCCTCCAGAAACTGCTCCAGGGAATAATAATCAATGAATGTTTCATCTTTATGTTTTGATCAGCATAAAAGTAACAACAAAACCACAGGGAACTTTGCCTCCTCGGTGTGATGCTGCTCAGGGCTGCACTGCACATTCTGCTGTTTGCATTTTATTTCTGTACTGAAAAGACAGATTGCACTTTAATATGACAAAGCATTCCAACAAAATGGAAGAGAGATCCTTGACTCATCGCAGACAGAATTCCTAGCACCCTGCATTGCTGCTTGGATGCAAAGTGAAGAGTTTCCTCATTTTTTCCCCCTGCTAAACACAGACTACTCACTTTATTACACTGTATTTTTAAATACCCACATGCACAATCATCATCATCATCATCATCTAAACACATTTAATATACAGGGCATTCATCTACCAGAAAAGGTAACACCCTAAAAATGGTTCGTGGAAAGAAACCTACCCAACAATAAACTGATCACTACTCCCACTTCTGGAATCCTCAACACAGAAATCAGAGATGTGACGACAGATGAAGAAGGAAAAGGTACTCACAAATAACACCTTCTGCAAGCCATCCTTGAAGGGGGGGTGGCCTTGGAATTTATATTTTCTTTCACGCAATCTGAGGTAGAAAAGCTCTTTCTCAAGGAAAAAGAATAAAGTAAAAAAAAAAAAATCACATTCACAGCTTTTGCACGCTCATTCAGGCTCAGCCCCGGTGGAACATCACGGATAAGTAAGCTGGTGATGTAACCAGCATCAAACACTGCATCAGATAAACCCAAAGGCTCTACAGGGTTATATTTTGCAAAGCCAAAAGGTTTTTCCCAGAGAGGAGGTTTAGCAAGCATAAACCAGCCACGCTGTCCTCACATTCCTGGTGGGCTCGCTTTCTGCTTGCAGAAAAAGTCCCAAAGCTGTATTTATTATTCAACTTCATCACCAAGGAGGAACAATATGCTTTCTCATTTGCTATTTAGACGGAAATATCAAAGCACCAAATGTTGCATTTTCGAATGCACCATCTCTGCCTGCTCACTGTAGTACAGTCCAAACCAAGAAAAGGCCATTGGTCCTTTTATCTCCATGGAAACAGCAGCATCTGTGAAGACGAACGTATTCCCTCCTCACTGCAAAGTCAATTTATAGTCACATACTATGACATAAACTGATAAGACAGCAAAGCTAATCAGCAACCAGGAGAAACAGCAACCTAAACATGAGATTAGGCTCTTGCTCAAGAGGATATTCCTCTGTATACAGCATTTCTCCAGTGAAAATTGCAGAATTAAGAAGCAAATCAAGCTGCTCCTGAGAGCTGCTGCAGGTTGAGGATTTGTGAACTTCCCAGTTTGGCTAATGAGGAGAGTGGCTGAATATTTTATACTATAAGCTTCTGGCTTGAAAATCTAGTTAAATCCTACTAAATGGGAAGAGATTTAAACAAAGTTGCTCTTTGCAAAAATAAAAATTACTGAAGAATTATTACTCCAGTGTTACCTTTTCCCTGCAGAAGAGCTGTCATCTTTAATAGCAACAGCAGAGTGAGAAGTTTCATAACTCTACAGGCAACTGCCTCCCCATCTCCCCCCTTTTTAGCACCACCAGAGGTGCAAACACTTCAGCACCATCCTGCTTGTGCTCTACAAACCTCCTCTCCAGGGAAATGATCATTTCTGCAGGCCTGATGAGTCACCTCAACTTGATTTTGTTTGATGGTACTTTGTAAAAGAGAAAAGCAAACTAAAAACCAAACCAAGAGACCCCAGAGAGTACAAAAGTGAGCTTTGTTCAGCTTTGCTCCTGCCCTCCTCCCGCCCAGCTCCGATGCTCAGCGCTCAGCCCTGACGTTCCCAAGCCAAGCTTCCTCCCTTCCCTCATGAATCAGTGCAATGACCATCTGCTCACATTATTAAGTTAAATATACACCAGCACACACTGATGAGGGCAGCTCATTTGCCATGGTCAAGTGCTCAGCTCCATGGCCAGTTGTCCCATTTCCAGAGGGACAGGGGGCAGCCAAATCCTCCTGATGCACCCACACAGCTCCCAGGGCTCAAGGGGAGCAGGAACTGCCAAAGATGCTGCAAAACTTTAGAAACAAAAATAAAAAATGGGGGAGGCAGGAGATCTTTGGTCCAAACCAATCTGCAAATGAGTTAGTGTGACCTAACTGCAACCTCACTGTACCTGAAGGAGCCAACAAGGAAGATGAACTGTTTTAAAGGGCCTGGAGCAACAGGACAAAGGGGAATGGCTTCAGACTGACAGAAAGAAGGGATAGATGGGATGTTGGGAAGGAATTGTACCCTGTGAGGGTGGGCAGGCCCTGGCACAGGTGCCCAGAGCAGCTCTGGCTGTCCTGGATCCCTGGCAGTGCCCAAGACCAGGCTGGACAGGGCTGGGAGCAGCCTGGGACAGTGGGAGGTGTCCCTGCCATGGCAGGGGTGGAACATGGTGATTTTTAAGGTCCCTTCCAACCCAAACCACTCCCTGATTCCATGGTTCTGCCTAGCAGAGGTGCATTTTGGTTTACAAAAGTAAATTTGATGATAATTTGTAGAATTGTCAGAGCAGCCTCAAGTCACATCTGCATGTGCTGGTGCCATGGAATGCAATAAGAAACCAGAGGGGAAGCAAAGGCCCCAGAATTCCCCATTCCCCCACATAAATGACCTGTTGGGCTTGGATCCAGCACCAACAGGTGCTCCAGCAGGATTCCTCCTAAAAAAACTCCATAAATACCCACTTGATGTGGTGCTGCCCCAGCCAGCAGAGCGAGCTCCAGGGAATCCTGTTGCCACATTCTCCTCACAGAGAAAAGCAAGACACAATACTCCCCAAGGATTTCTGAGATTCACATTCTCTGAACCTCAGAGAAAGGGAAAACACAATTCTTACCAATTGCTGTGCCTGTGTTTGTGCCACAGTAGAATGCAATATGGAGATTGTTTACCCACAGTGATGGTGTTTTGTTTCCTTGGCCTGTCAGGGCCAGGTGTGTGTGTGGGGACTGTCACTGACAGGCACAAGATTCTGGGCAGTGTATGCAGAGCAATTCCTTGGCAGATTGAGTTTAGATGAAATGTAGACAGTATAGTATAATAAAGTAATTAATTAGCCTTCTGATATCCATGGTGTCCTCCTCATCATTCTCTCCCCTTCATCAGAGTCACCTTTGATTTACAATAGAATCCAGCCTGGTGTGGCCATCCCCAAATATCTCTGGTGGTACAGATCCCAAACCCTTCCCTGGGAGCTTGATCCCATAACTCCTGCCCCCATGGGCTCATGGAACAGGTCAGGCTCCAGAGCACAGTGTCCCCATGCCACACTGGAGGCCTGGATTGGAGCAGCCATACCTTGGACTCAGATATGAGACCCTGGGAGGCACTGACATGATCACCTGTCAGCTTTGAAAGTTGAATTATCTTTTGCACAAATTAAGGTAATTCAGGGAAATACAGATTTAGAGGAGTGTTTTTTTTCTGCTGCACAGCCTAAAGGTATCTTGCTTCCAGGGAAGCTTTATAATGATTCAAATACTGCTTCATTTTTAGCAGATACCAAACACAGAGCACTGGAAAAGTACAATTTCAAAAGGTTCTTGTGTGTCCTGAACTTGCACATCCCAGCCACCAATACATCACATAAATGATAAATGCCTGCTAAGGAAACAACACCATTCCATAAAGAATCCCATCAAAGAGCTTTCCAAGCCACTGCAAGGTCAAGTACCTCAATCACCAGCAGCATATAAGGAAGAGAATAAACAGGCTTGGCAGCTTGGTGCATCCTTCTGGTGTTAATTCCAGTTTCTGCAGATGTCTGACAGTGCACAGGTCAAATGAAAAGTGAGGAATGACTTACCCAGCTATTCAGAAAGGTGCTCCCTGGGTGATAATCAATCCAGTTCAAGGAGGACAGGATAATAGGAAGCTTTTCAGTGTATGGCATTGCTGCTTGTGTTTGGGACAAGCTTTCAATTCAGTTCTTGGTTTGGTTTGATGTGTCTGGATAAAATAACTGGGGAACAACTGTCTGGCTCTAAACTCCACAGTTTTATTCAAGATAACAGACTCATTTGCATGATTTCTGTTAAACACTGGTTTAGCCAAGCTCAGTCTCCCTCAGCTCTCCCCTGGAACAATGGGAGCTGGGCTGATGAGTAAGTGTGGGATAAAGCCTGCCCACGTCTGTTTCTTAGCAGAATGAACTCAAATGTTTCACAATTGATTGAATACTACAAAGTGAGGAGTTAGTAACTGCACAGGCTGTTTAGCCTTAGCTTTTAACTTTAAAAAAGGCTTTTCTTTATCAAAAAATGCAGTAAGTAGGGCAGAACTGGGGACACTGGGGCCGAGTCCTCCCCAGCACTACAAAGTCAGCTCAGCAAGACTCCTGTACAGTCACTTGATGTCACTGTGTGAAAAGAACTGGACATAAAATGCCCAAGTCATTATCCTAACCACTGTACAAGCCACAAGTACTAAAGACAAGGACTCTGATCCCCCTGAAGAGCCTGGAGGAGCTCCATGGGGCCCAGCACAGCCAGGCTGTCCCAGTAAATGCCCAGTGGTTCTGAGTGCTCTGAACACTGATCCCTGCCAGCATCAGTGACCTGCACAGCCACAGAACTAGCTGTCCCCAAAACCCAGTTTTCTCTGCTGAGGTTCCTGTTCTGTCCATGGCTGTGAGGAATAAACAATCACCTGAGCAACGTCAAACATTGTTTGTTTCAAATGGGGGCCTGAATTTATCTTCAAGGTTTTGAGAAAGACTCAAAAGCAAAGCCATTTGTTAGCAGTTATTGCATTTTCCTGTTTATTATTAACATGCTGGTCTCTGCAGGATTAGGAGGCTTGGCTATAGATTCATTCTAGAAAACCAAAGGCAGTTTGTGGTTGGAATTCTGGGTGAGGCCACAGGGGATGAAGGACACAGCCCTGCCCCTGCCAGGAGGTCTCAGACCCTCTACTCAAACACAAGATGAATGCTCAGCTCCTCCTCCCTAATCCCCAAATAAAACTTCCCCCTGCCTGGTCCTGACACAGCCCCAGAGGTTGTTATTTGGAGTTCAGAAGCAGAAGTGGCTCGTTCCCCTCATGTGTCACACACAGAGACAAAGCTGAGCACCATGGGGCTCACACAGCAGCCTGGGACCTGAGACCATTTTTATAGAAAAACTTCCATTACAGCCTAAAAACTCCCCTCATTCACTCTCCCACCTGAAGCTGAGCTGTGTCTTGGAGCAAGCTGGCCTGGTGAAAGGTGTCTCTGCCATGGCAGGGATGGAAGGGCTTTAATGTCCCCTCCAGTGTGACCGTGTGCACAGGGGTCCCAGGATGAGGGAAGAGACCAGGATCTGACTCCATGTTTCAGAAGGCTGATTTATTATTTTATGATATATATTACATTAAAACTATACTAAAAGAATAGAAGAAAGGATTTCATCAGAAGGCTGGCTAAGAATAGAATAGAACAGAATGATAACAAAGGTTTGTGGCTCGGCTCTCTGTCCGAGCCAGCTGGGCTGTGATTGGTCATTAATTAGAAACAACCACATGAGCCCAATCCCAGATGCACCTGTTGCATTCCACAGCAGCAGATAACCATTGGTTACATTTTGTTCCTGAGGCCTCTCAGCTTCTCAGGAGGAAAAATCCTAAGGAAAGGATTTTTCATAAAAGATGCCTGTGACAC